ATTTCAAATCAAAAGTATATCTCTTTTATCCATACCTTTCTTAGTATTTTCCTCCATAACAAACATGAAACCAACAAGCAAACATATGTATTTTCTTGTTAAATCATTTTCACACACCTTCTCTACATACTTAGGCCATCTGGTCTTGTATATTTTTCTTTATATCTTTCTAACAAGACAAACATACAAGATCCTTTCATATCAAAAGTATATCTCTTACCCATAGCTTTTCTAATATTTTCCTCTGTCTTATTTACTATTAACCTTCTATAACAAACTTCAGTTGTTAAAATCTTAGTGTCCCTTTTTTCTGTTCTCAGATTGTTACATCTCAAAATTTGACTGGCTGTCAATGTAACAGTATTAACCTTACATTTCTTTTTTTTTAACAAAGAAAAGAAAAGAGCAAGTTGACCCTATAATCAAATTTCTTTTAGGCACACCAATCAAACATCATCTCAAATTGAAACAATGATACATTTACCAAATAGTTAAAATCTGCAACTTGATTTTTCTTGTAAAATCCCTTGAATCTGGTAAAGCAGTCGAAGTTTCTCTGACTTTTAGATTCCAGACCTTTGCTGGCAGCATCGGACTGGTAACATAGGGTTGGCATTGTGGCTCTTAAAGCCTGGAGTGTTTTTTGTTTTTGTTTTTTTTTGGTACGGGGGATCAAACTTGTGTCCTTGCTCTTGCAAGGCAGGTGGTGGAACCACTGAACTAAATCCCTGGCCCTGGAGTGTTTTTTCTCTATTCTGCTGTATGCTTTTCAGAGCTTTCCTAGCTGTTTTTAATCCATTAAAATTTTATTTTTTCGTTTTAGTTCTTTATAATCTGAGTGTAAGCCCTGTTCCATTCTCTGAGTTGGACCGTGGTTTCCTATGTACACCCTATAATGCAGTAAGGCCATGCAGTTCTTCCCCCTTGTTTTTGCCCCCACCTCCTCCACACCTGTGATCTTAGCAATTCAGGCAGAGGAGGAGGCAGCTCAACCTCCTCCAAAGAGGAAGCACTGGTATTTACCTGTAACGATGTCACATTTTTTGAGAGACAAGTCTGCCATGTGAAAAACAGCGGATTTGGCAAGCAGTTATTCTAAGACCAAAACTAAATAGTTCTCACACCAGCAGCTGATTGCTGCAGAGCAGAGGCTTGAGCAGCTCCCAGCCTGGGTTGTTCAGGCCTCAAAACAGCATACAAGGCTCCAGGTTGTCAAAGTCTCAGTTAAAACAAAGGAAGATAACTTTTCTTTTGTCTAGAGTTTTTTTTGGGGGAAAGCCTGGCTTAGCTGAGACCACGATAACTCACAGAGTTTTCTGAGCATCTTTTGGTCTTAATTTTACCCCATAGTCCCTCACGAAGCCTTTATCAAAATTCTGAATCATGTACTCAAGAACATTTGGTTTAGTATTTGCATTTCCCATGATCCCTAGATATTTCCTTGCCTGGTGTCGCAGGACAAACAGGGTAGGTATCGCTCACGTTCACCAGTCCTGGCTGTCGGGTCTCTTCACAGTTTAAGGCCTGTCAGAGCTGAAGGAACACTGTCATGTTAATGTTCTGTTTTGCTCATATGAGACATTGGCCACAGAATCGTGGAAACAGGCCACACACAAGCTCTGTGACTTGGGGAGGGCTCGTAAAGCACAAATGCCCCCTCCCTTTGTCTTGGTGCACAGACAAGGCTACCTATGGCTTTCATAGCTCGTTCCACTCACTCTTCTAACCGAATCTCTTTCACACACGCAATCACACAAGAAGTTAACACATTCCCTCCCTAGGGCCCCTTACAAACTGCAGTAAGTAACATTGAGGGCAATTGAAACCCTCACAAATGGCAAAAAGATGGTTAGGCCTGCACTCTATATTTTGCCCAAATTCAGGACATAAATCCTTGTGAATGGTAGAGAAAGGAGGGTAATCAGGCCTCCAATCTGTAATCTGCCCAAATGTTCAATTAAGACAAAACCAGAACAAACGCAAAACAAACTAGGGGTTGCCCAGGGAATTTCACCATTCAGACAGACAGTTCCATTCATATGCCTTCCTTCTGTCCCGGGTTCGAGCGATCCACTGCCAGCTAGCTGGCCTCCATGTCCTAGAAAGGGAACCCAGGAAATCCCAGGGTGCGCCTCTTCCCTTCGGAGGAGGCGGACTGCCACTCCCCCTCCCTTCGGTGTCCACCCCCTCTGACCCAGCGAGACTCGGGTGGAGGCCCAACATGGGCCATGTCAGTTACCCATTTCCTTCCCAGCCACCACACACCAAATGTTATGGAAGGAATTGGCAAGTGACACACAGAGAGACAGTAGAATGGAAGTAAAATAAAAAAGTTTACTTCATCAATGGGAATCGATCACACCTAATGGTGGTGCCCTGATTGACCCCCCTTGGGTTACAACTCCTTCTTTTGTAGGGTTTTACAGCCTTGATTTTATTCAGTTGGTTACATTGCATTTTCGTAGTTCACATTGCTCGACCATCTTTTTTAACAGACTGCCCCAAATCATATAAATCTGAGTTGACATACTTTAACAATGAATTTAGATTTGTTGGAATAACAGTTTATTCCAGTTCTGGACAGTGAATCCATATTATTTTCTTTATCGAATGCTTTTATTTATAGGGCCTTATGAAAACAAAGGCTACAATTGTGACTCTGTTGTCATAATTATACCGGTATGTTGTCCTACATTGATGAAGCAAATTTAAATTCCCAAATACTTAAATCTACTTAATATTTTATAAATAGATTTTTTATTATCAAATACTTAAAGGTTCTTAAAAGTCAACTCCATAGTCTCCTACATGGAATTCTAATTTCATTCAGATGTCTGAGAAATAAAGAGCTTACTGTTCTGTGAATCCATTTCAGTGTCACCCAGCTTTGTTAATATAATTTATTTTCCCTACATTAATCCTATATGTCTTATACAGTTTACATCTATTTTCTCTGGCATTGCTTTGTGGGTATAGCCTAAAAATACTTGAACATTATAATCACTTTTCAAATTCTCTTTTCTGGTTAAAAATTCCAGTGTGGTTTCTTATGTTACATGATTTCCAGGCTCTTTATTATGTAGACAGGACAAACAACCTATCAGCATTAATTTTAAATTGAATAATGTACAGTACTTGACTGGGATGTGACCAAAGTTCTTAATAGTTCTTCAGAGTAAACCCAAAGAAGGTAAGTCTTGTTAAATACTTGTCAATTTTATTGAATAGGCTTTAGATTTTCCTCTAATTATGTTTTGTTTCATTAATTTCAATTTTATATATCCTTTATTCTGCTTGCTTTGGGTTTATTTTTCTAATTTTTTTTAGGTAGCAGTTTATTGAATTGAGACCCTTCTCTTCGTTTTGGTTTTTTGAGACAGGGTCTCACTATATAGTTGAGACTGACCTGGAACTCCCTGTGTAGCCCATGCTGGTCTCGAACTCAGTGATCCTCCTGCCTCAGCCTCCTGGAGTGATGGGATTACAGGCGTGTGCCACCACCCCCAGCCCTTCTTTTCTAATTTAAACATTTAATGCTATTAGTTCCCCTGTAAGCCCTACTTAGCTGAATTTCATGAATTTGAATAATTTAATATTTTCATTTTCGATATTGAAAACACTCATTTCCAATTAAGAAATCATTTTGACTTCTGAATTTTTCTTTTCTTTTTGACTGTTAGATTATTTAAAAGTATGTTTAATTTTTAAGTGTTTGGAGATGTTCCTTGTATTTTATTGTCCATTTCTAGTATAATTGTTCTGATTAGATAACTGTATGACTAATTCTTTTAACTTTATTAAGGTTTTATAACCGAAGAGCCTTTGTTTTTGGGTGGCACTTCCTGTTAGTGTTAGTGAGATTCACTTGGTTGGTGGTATTTGTTCAGCTCTTCTGTATTGCTGATTTTTCTTTTCTTTTTCTTTTTTCGGTACTGGGGATCGCACTCAGGACCTTGCACTTGCCAAGCAGGTGCCAAACTTCTGAGCTATACCCTCAGCCTAGAGTATTGATTTTTCTGAAGTCTCCAACTATAGTTTTCCATTTCTTTTTCTCTCCTTTCGGTTCTCTGAGGTTTTGCTTCATGTATTTTGAATCTATTAGATGCATACTTACCTAGAATTGCATTTTCTTAGCAGATTAACCTTTTATTATGTAATATCCCTTTTTCTTTTAAACAGCTTTATTGAGACATAACTCACATATACAATTCACTCTTTTAAAGTGTATGATCCAGGGCTGGGGATTTAGCTCAGTAGTGCTGTAACTGCACAGCAAGCACAAAGTCCTGAGTTCGATCCCCAGTACCAAAAATAAATAAATTAATTAATAAATAAACAAATAAGTAAATAAAGTATATGATTCAGCTGGATACCGTGGCATACATCTGTTTTAATCTCAGTATTTAAGAGGCTAAGCTATTATGGTGAGTTGAAGCCCAGCTTGTGCTGTATAGAAAGACCCTGTCTCAAAAAAATAAAAGCAAAACAAAACAAAAAGTATAAGACTCAGTGATTTTAGTTTCTTCACAGGGTTGTGCAACCACCACAATCATCATTATCCCCCCCCCCAAAAAAAGCACACCCATTAGTCACTAGACTATATTATACTATATCAGTAGTCACTAGCCAGGGTCAAGGCTAATTATCTGTAAAGCCTACGCTTGTCATCTTATGGATCTTAACATTTTTTTTATTTAGGCCTGGTTATTGGTTGTTTGTATTCTGTAACATTACTTAAAATCTTTATTTCTAAAACGTGTTTTTATTTTTACTGTATATTATCTCATCACTAAATATCCTGGGGCACCAAAGAATTTTCTGAATGATACTTTTTCGTTTTTAACTATATAGTAAGGAAGAAATAGAATGCAGAATTAAAGGAGTTTATATTTTTCAGAGATGACTTTCAAGCGTATATTAGAATTAGACTTTGCTTATACATATAAGTGTACCTGATAAATAGTTGTGGTATTCATATTTGACTTATCTTTTTTTAACAGATCATATCTGAAGATATTAGTGAGCTACAAAAGAATCAAACTACAAGTGTGGCCAAAATTGCACAGTACAAGAGGAAACTCATGGATCTTTCCCATAGAACCTTACAGGTAGTAATTAGGTTTTTTTCCCCCAAACATTTGTAAGATGTGTGTGAAATGTGTGCTAAATACAGATTTTTGTAATAGAAAAAAAAAACCTCAAACAATAGTCTGAAATTGAAAACTTTGAAGTTGGAAGAGAAGTCATAAGGTTGGGTGAAGAGAAGATATTTGAAAGTTTGTATCTTAGAGTAGGTGAGAATAGTGAAGAAATAAAGGATCTTTGAAGAAAGCACATATGAGATCACTGATACTGATTTTTCATAAAATAGAAAAACATGTTTGGGTGTCAAGAAAGGGAGTGTAGGGCCAGGGACTTAGCTCAGTGGTTCTGTGCCTGCCTTGCAAGTGCAAGTCCTGAGTTTGATGTACTAAAAAGAGTACCGAATTCGGTAGTTAAAAAAAAAAAAAAGAAAGAAAGGGAGTGTGACCATTAATGGTTGAAAAACAACAGAACTCCCCAATTAATGAGAGAAAATAAAAGAATAAATGGCAACAAAACAAATTATAAACTGTCATGAAAATAGAAATATTGTATATTAGAACAAATGGGACACAGCAATAGATGTATTCAGAAAAATATGTAAGCTTAAAAAGTCTTCAATTTTAAAAACCAAAAAGTAACTCATGTTAAGAAATTAAGAAAAAGCTGGGGGATTTAGCTCAGTGGTTCTGCTGCCTGCCTCGCAAGTGCAGTGTCCCGATTTTGATCCCCAGTACAAAAAAAAAAGGAAGCAAAAAAAATTAGAAAAAGAATATCAAGATAAGCCAGAAGAAACCAATTAAGAAAAAAAAGCTAAAAGTAAAATCAGTGAGACATTTCAAAAATTAGAATTAAAAAGCTGTTTATTTGAAAAGACCATCAAAGTGGTTAACTATCTTCTGAGTCTGAAGAAGAAAAAGCAATATATATACAAAATTAGTGAAAAAAAGAAACATTATCACAGATATATAAAATAGTAAGAAAATCTGGGGCCAAAAGAAGTTAACACAGAGAAAGATACCAATGCCAGATAGTTTCTTTGCTAAATTTTGTCTAATTGGTGAGAGCTAATTCCAAATTTTTCTTTACAATTGAGGAAAAGTATAGATGACTTTGTTGTATTTATTAACAGCTTCACTGAGATACAACTTACTGCATAATTCACCAATTTGAAAGGTATAGTCCAACATAGGTTTTTAATGTATTTAGACTTTTTTTTTTCTTTTTTTGTTTTTTGTTTTTTGAAACGGTCTCGCTATGTATTTGAGGCTGACCTGGAACTCACTTTGTAGCCCAGGCTGGTCTCGAACTCACAGCGATCCTCCTGCCTCAGCCTCCCCTCCCAAGTGCTGGGATTACAGGAGTGCACCACCACGTCTGGCTAATGTATTTAGACTTTTTTTTTTCTTTTTTTGTTTTTTGTTTTTTGAAACGGTCTCGCTATGTATTTGAGGCTGACCTGGAACTCACTTTGTAGCCCAGGCTGGTCTCGAACTCACAGCGATCCTCCTGCCTCAGCCTCCCCTCCCAAGTGCTGGGATTACAGGAGTGCACCACCACGTCTGGCTAATGTATTTAGACTTTGATAACCATGACTGTAATCAATATTAGAACATTTTCATCACCCTAAAAATAATTTTCCTATTCATTGGCAGCCACTCCTCCATTTTACCCTAAATCAACCAGCTCTAGGCAACGACTTTCTGTCTATAGATTTGCCCGTTTTGGACACTTCATATTAATGGAATCATACCAGTTTCTTCGTAGCATAACTTTTGCAAATGTCAGCCATGTAACAATACTTATCCCTTTTTATTGCTGAATTTCATTATATGAATATACCACATTTGTATTTATATATTCAACTGATGAACATTTTGGAGAGTTTTTTGCTATTATGAACAATGTGACTATTAATATTAATATGTCCATATATGCTTCTATTTCTCAAGTGTAAATGTAGGAGTAGGTGCTGGGTCTTATGGTCCACTCTCAAATTTTTTGAGAACTACCAAACTGTTCGGCAGTGCACTTCCACCATTTTATAGCTGAGTTTTAGTATTTCAAAGAGATCTATGAACAGAGATATAGGTTTATCTGTCTTTTTGGTGGTTTGGGGGAGTGAAACAAGGCCCCCTGTGTTGAACTACATTCCTAAATAAGCCCTCCCGCCCCCCTTTTTGAGACTGTCTCACCAAGTTGCTAAGATGCCCAGGCTGGGCTTGAATTTGATCATTCTACCTCAGCCTCCCAGAGTGCTGGCACCAGACACATCTAATTAAAAATGCAGATTGTCAGGTATGGTGCCACATACCTGTATCCCTAGCACTCTGGGAGTCTGAGACCGGAGTATCACAAGATTGAGCACGGCCTGGGACAATATAGTGAGACCCTGTCTCAAAAAATTAAAAGGGCTGCAGATGTAGCTAAGTGTGAAGGCCCTGGGTTCAATTCCTAGTACTGAAAGAAAAAAAACGATGCAAATTATGCTAAATTTTAAAAGCCTGACTTGAAGGCTCCAGACATTATGTACAAGTTAAGTTAATTCAAAGGGCCAGAGATAAGAGAGAGGCAAGAGGGAAGTTTTTGGATGATGGAAATGTTCTGTATCTTGTTTGAATATATGAGGAACAGTGTTGGGAATCACCCAGGTCCTTACATATATTAGGTTTGAGCTCTACCATCGAGCTATACTCCACTACCCTCCTTTTTTAATGTGGTACTAGGGGTTGAACCCTGAGTTTCATAGTTATTGGTTTTTGTTTTTTTTTTGGTACTGGGGATCGAACTGTAGACCTTGTGCTTGTGAAGCAGGCAGTGGCACCACTAAGCTAAATCCCCGGCCCTGCCTCATAGTATTTTAACCCTCTTGTGATCAAATGAATATTGTATTGGCACAGGATGGGACATAAAGATCCATAGAGCAGAATAAGAAAATCTATAAACAGATGCAAGTGTATCTCAACTTGTATGACAAAGGTGGTATTTTAGTTAAACAAACCATGCTGGAGTAACTGACTTTCCATCCAGAAGAAATAAAATTAGACCACTGTTACCACATTATATTCAAAAAAAGTAAATTAGAGATTTAATTCTAAGAAACTTAGGAGCGTGTATAACCAACAGATTGGAGACATTGGAACAAAAACATAGAAACCATAGAACAAAATTGACTACCTGAGAATTAGAAAATTTTTCCAGGCATGGTGGTACACACCTTCCAGCTACTTGGGAAGCAAAGACAAGAGGATCACAGGTTCAAGGCCAGCCTGGACAACTTAGCAAAACCTTGTCAATTTTTTTTTTTTAAAAAGGACTGAAATGTAGTTCAGTGCTCCCTGAGTTCAATCCTAGTAAAAAAGGAAAGAAAGAAAATTACACAGCAAAAGTTACCAGAAGCTGCCACTGAGTACCCTGGTGCATTCCTGTAATCCCAGGTACTGAGGAGGCTGAGGCAGGATGATCACTAGTTTGAGACTAGCTTGGGCAACCTAGTTAGACCTTGTCTCCAAAAAAATAAAATTTAAAAATGAACTTGAGATATGTGTAGTTTAGTGGTAGACTGCTTGCCTATTGTGTACAAGGCCCCAGGTTCAATCTCCAGTAATGCAAAGGGGGAAAAAACCTGATTCTAGGAGCCATGTGCCAGTAGTCATGAGTTCAGAAAAAGGGAAATGTGAGAACAGCACTGATGTTAGTTGTAAGTTTTTTGTTTGTTTGCTTTGGTACCGGGGATTGAACGTGGGACCTTGTGTTTATGAGGCAGATAGCAGAACCACTGAGCTAAATCCCCGGCCCAGGTGTAGTTTTAATACACATATTCCACAAAGAAATTTGTAGTTGGATAAGAAAACAATTGAAATGAGGGTAAAAGATGTTTACTGGCAGTTTACAGATAAGCAGATACAAAGTATTAGGGATCAAAGGATTTACAAATTAAAGAAAAAAATGTGATCCCTTAAACTTGTCAGACTGCAAAATTTTAAACAGCCTCGCAGCTATTGCTGACAATAATGTAGGGTAGTGTGTAGCGGTGAATCTAAAATTGTCAGGATCTTTTCAGTAGCAGCTTCTATTAGAAATGAAAGTGTACATACTTAATTTAACCAAGCAGTTTCATTCTTGGGAAATGAATTTCATTCATTCAATTTTCATTCTATACCAGAAAGCTAATTTCTTTATACAAAAATGTTTATCCCAGCATTATTCATAAAACAAAATGTTGTATGTCCATCAAGACAGTGAATATTGAATAGACTGGTCATTAATGTATAAAAAAATGCATCTATTCAAAGTAACAAATTAGTTATATCACTAAGGATTTCATGAGATTTTGTTAATTATATATAATATACCTTTTGTAAAAATTAGTGACTACAGGGGCCAGGGATTTAGCTCAGCGGTTAGGTGGCCTTCCTTGCAAGCGCAAGGCCCCGAGTTCAATCCCTGGTACAAAAAAAAAGAAAGAAAGAAAAGAAAAATTAGTGACTAGAAAACCACTTAGCAAGACCTTGTTTCAAAATAAAAGAAAGTCTGGGGCTGTAGCTCAGTGTGAAGGCTCTGGATTTAATCCTCAGTACCAGGGCAAAAAAAAAAAAGTCACAGACTGCTTTTGTAATCTGAATAAAAAGTCCAATAAAAATGGATTTAAACTTAAATATTACAGGTTTGTGTTTTTACATAAATGATTCTGAAAGGTTACAAATATCTAAAACTGGTATAATGTTGCCTATTTTTTGTAGTTTTTTTAAGTTGTAAAAACTAGGTATAGGTTTAAAACAGTTGTCTTCTTGCTGCTGTTGCCCCAATTGTTGAGTGTATATCATTGTTATCATTGTACTTATATGATACCTCTGACTGATTAAAATGGATAAAAACAATTCAGATCACAGTGTTAAGCCCTACTACATTGGTTCACAAACATCGGTACATTGGTACCTTGGTTCATGAACACGGGTGTTTATAAACAATTTGGTCCACATACACGAGTGTTTGGCAAAATTTTTTTGTTTGCAAACTGCATCAGGTGACAAACACAACCATAGCCATTTTTGCCACAAAAACACAAATGTGGCCATCTTTTCCAAGATCATAGAACAAATTAAGGTTGTGAATTGAAGTAGCCCCATATATCGTTAGCATAGTTTTCAGCTGATTTCTTCCAACAAACAATTGTAATAAAACAACTTTATAAAAAAGTTGATTCTGTTTCTACTGGCGACTTTTCTTTGTGTAGGTCCTAATCAAACAGGAAATTCAAAGGAAGAGTGGTTATGCCATCCAAGCTGATGAAGAGCAATTGCGAGTTCAGCTGGATACAATTCAGTCTGAATTAAATGCACCTACTCAGTTCAAGGTAAGCACTTCTAAGTCAATCTGCAGAAAAGTGGCAAATACAGTGGACCTTTGACTTAAGAATTCATTTGGTTCCTGAGGGCTGGTTGTAACTTAAGTCAATACAGCTGAGATCTGGATGTTTACCTAGGTACACACTACAGATAAAAGGAGGCAAATGAATCCATTAACCTTTTTAACCCAAGTTATATGCCAGGCCACTCATAACTTGAGGGTCCACTGTAGTCTTCAAACAGGAATTTTCTATAGGTGTTTATTAAGCATTTGTTAAAGTTTCCTTTCTAAAGTAAACTTATGGCGAGCCATTACGGTGAGCCTAGACACAGGCCTAGCCATGATTGAACTTTGCGTCACCTGGCTGGCACGGACGTGCTCTCGTCCATAGCCACGGGCGAGTTCAGCTGGTAGCAGATGTAACCCATAATGGTTGTTGTTTCCCTCTGGAATGTGTGGGCGGTACCCTCGCTCCCTCGCTCCCCTGCAGCCCTCGCTTCCATGCAGCTGGAGAGTATAAAAAGGAGAGGTTCTGTAATAAAGCAAGCAAGCAACATGAGAAGAAAGGTGCTTCCCGTGTCTCTGTCCTCATCCTTTCAGGTTTAGGACCTGCTGGCAGGATCCTGACGTCGCGGCTCGCAACATAAACTCTTAATCATGATTCTTTTTTTGTTTTAAATTTTTTTTCCAGCTTTGAGTTTATTGGTACATTTTAGGGATACAGTACAGTTAAATTCATTGTTGGGATCTTGTGCCTCTACATGATAAGTCTTGATTCTCATTTTTTCCCCTTACCTCTGCCCTCCCTTCACCCCCTCCTCCCCTCCCCATCTACAAACACTTTATTTTCATCTTTTCATTAGCTCACATTTTTTTCTTTTCCCTTATTACCCTTCCCCTACCCATCCCACCTTCCCTACACCTTTAGCTCCTTTCTTCCCATTTCTAAATGTCAGTAATCTTATTAGGATCTTATGTATTATTGCAGATTATTCACACCAGGGAAACTATTCAGTATTAATCATGATTCTTTTGTTGGTGTTAGTGTTTCAAATAATGCACACAGGGATGTGGATGTAGCTCAGTGGCACCCTGCCTTCTTTCCTTGCAAGCACAAGTTCCTGAGTTCGATCCTGTTTCCAGAAAAACAAAAATCAAAATAATGCAAATAGAGAAAATTGGAAATTTTTGTTTTTTGGTTTTGCACAGTTTTGCTGTGTAATTTAGGCTGGCCTTGAACTTACTATGTAGCTCAGGCTGACCTCAAACTCATGGTGATCCTCCTGCCTCAGCCTCCCAAGTGCTGGGATTACAAGCATGCACCATCACGCCCAGCAAAAAATTTTAATGTTCTGGAGCCATCCTTTCAAAGAAAACATTCTTTGTTAGAAGTGGTACTACTGTTAACAGTTATATTTTGACTGGTTTTCAGGGCCGACTAAATGAACTGATGTCCCAAATCAGGATGCAGAACCATTTTGGAGCAGTCAGATCTGAAGAAAGATATTATGTAGATGCAGATCTGTTACGTGAAATCAAACAGGTAAGTATTGTACAAAGGTGTACATTTTAAGTGTGAGGTTACCACCTCACATTTGTTAGGATGGCTATTATCCAAAAAATAAAACATTGGTGAGAATGTGGAGGAGTCGGAACTTTGATGTGCTGTTGAGGAGCATAAAATGATGTAGCTTATATGGACAGTGGTGTGGTGGTTCTTTTAAAATTTAAAAAGAGCTGGGTATGATGGCACATGCCTGTCTCAATGTGAAAAATAAAAAGGGCTTGGGGGGATAGCCCAGTGCCAAAGCCCTGGCTTCAATCCCCAGTACTACTAAATACATGCATTACACTATACAGAGTATAATGAAATAAAAATAGGGTTATCATGTGACTGGCAGTTCTGCTTCTGGAAGTCTAAGCATGGAAGCTGGAAGAAGGGACTTTGAACGAATACTTGTACGTCCTTGTATATATGCAAATAATGGGATGTTATTCTTTTAAAAAGGAAATTCTGCTACATGCTACAACATGACCAGACCTTGAATATGTTTATGCCAAGTGAAATAAGCCAGGCATAAAAGGACAAATATATGATTGTACTTGTATCAGGTACCAAAGTAGTCCAATTAAAAAGAGAACGAGAATAGTCCTTACTAGGGTAGGAGGGAGTGGGGATTGTTTTGTGGGTTCAGACTTTTGAGTTTGAGAAGTTCTAGAGACAGGGTAGCAATTTCTGCCCAACAGTGTGAAAGTACTTAACACCCCTGAATTGCACACTTTGTTGATTTTTTTTTCTTCTTCTTGGTACCGGGAACGAGCTCCGGTCCTTGTGTTTGCAAGGCAGGTGGTGGAACCACTGAGCTAAATCCTCGGGCCTGAACTGCACACTTTAAAAATGGCTCAAATAGTAATTTTTATGTTATGCCTATTTTACTTCAACTTTAAGTAATGAATCATGTCTACCATCATTCACCCATCCAAAACTGCAGGTAGTAGTGGCAACAGGAAGGACATTAGAAAGGCAAAATCTCATTCCTTATTCCAAATCTATTTAATTGCATTTTACCAAGATTATAGTGATCTCTATGTATGTTACAATGGGAGGCAACTGTCCTGAATCATACCTTCCCAGCCTATATATAAACTGTAAATGTACTATACTGAGTTATTGATTCTCTTAAGTCTAAGGGGACCAGAGTGGATGTTGGGGTAGCCAGAGCCTCCAGTCACTTGTGTAGGGTCACTTTGTATGAAAAAACTTGAGAAATAGTGCTATTTTCATTAGTATAAATATAGATTGGCTTAATGAAAGCTTTCCAAACACTGTTCTAAAGAAATATACCACAAGGTGGTAAACCTTGTGGAACATACTAGGTAGGACTATTGGCCAGGCCCTGAGAGTTTTATTTAGATGGCTATAAATGTTATACAAATCTGATATTACTGTATACATTAGAATGGATATCACTAAAAACTAGCTTGACTTCTGAGCTCTTAGAAACACAGTTATATTCCATCATTTAGGTACACAGTATTTGGCAATAAAATTAACTGAGATCGATTCTAACATTAATCTAGAACCATACTAAAGTGCTTATATACATTAATATATAAACACCCTTTTTTAATGTCGTATTGGCGTTTGAACCCAACTTAATGCATACTGTGCAAATACTCTACCATTGAGCTAATGCTCCCAGTCTTGCTACCTTTTTTTTTTAAATACCAGGGATCAAACTCAGGACCTTGTGCTTGCAAGGCAGGCAGTGGCACTACTGAGCTAAATCCCTGGCCCTCTATCTACCTTTTTAAAGTGAGGAAAAGTAGTATATTGTATCAGGATTGAATCACAGTTTACCATCTATCTTATGACCTTTGTGACTTTGGACAGATTACTTACGCTCAGTTTCTTTGAAGTAGAATGATTCTGGTACCCCGAAAGGTGCTCAAAAAGATTTTAAGTGAATTAAATACCTACAAAGCTATTACAGCAGTACCTTAGTGTGTGGGAAGGACTCCTAAAAATGTTACCAACTGTAGTCATCATCACCATTACCATAAAAACATGTATTAGAGGTCACAAAAACTGTTTTCAAATACTAAGTATCCTCTTTGAGTTATTTTAATATACCTTTTATCACAAAGAAATAGCCAAAAACATTTCTGTTTAAGATATTATTCATAAATATTTGGTTTAATTGTATTTTGAATTATATCTTTCTTACTGTTGGTCACATAAAGTATTAGCCAAAGATGTAGTACAAATTAAATGAGTTGCTATTAAAAGTCTTTTCTGTGAGTAGCTTGCAGTTTAATAGAGTAATATATTAATGTGTTCTATTTTTTTTTTCATTTTAGCATTTGAAACAACAACAGGAAGGCCTTAGCCACTTGATTAACATTATAAAAGATGATCTAGAAGATATAAAGTTGGTAGAACATGGATTGAATGAAACTATCCATATCAGAGGTGGTGTCTTTAGTTGACAAGTCACAAACTTGTTTTAGGAGTTTGTAAAACGTATCTTCTTATTGCATCATGCCTTTCCTAAGAATGGAATGAGCACATGGAAAAAAAAGAAAGAAAATGATCCTCCCCTGGCTTGGATTTTTGAGATTACTAACAAATTACTCTTCATTAAATCTGAAATAATCTAGTCATCACACATCCCTTCAAAAAGAACCTTCAAGGCTGGACCAGATTTAGGTCAGCGGTTCGGTGGCCTCCCTTGCAAGAGCAACGACCCAAGTTCAATCCCCGGTACCAAAAAAAAAAAAAAAAAAAACCTTCAAAAGATTTACATCTTAAAAGCTATATATACTTTAAAAGAGAGATGAACCTAATACATTTTTAAAACATTTTCTTAAGCATCACAGTATTATTCTGTCTTGTGCTTTCTATGGCAAGTAAATATGAAATGTATACTTTGCATATAACAAACTATAATTACTTGGCTGTTGATTTGAGATAATGAAAAGGACATCAGTTTTATATATGTGAATTCAACTTGGGAGTAGTAAAGCAAATCTAAAAGTATTTAATGATGTGATTTTCATTTTCTGTAAGATTTGAAAATATATTTTTTTATTTGATTTGAAGTTTATAGAACAATTCTAAGCAATTAGGATATAACGATTACTGGAAACTTGTTTTTTAAACCTTTATTTCTAAAAGTGAAAACTTTAAATAAATTCTTTATTTGTAATTTTATCTGGTACTTTATTTAACTTTTAGGGAAAGATCATATGTGTCCACATAATTACTAAATTTATAATCAAAATCTGGGACTTTTAAGTCTGATTTTTGGACTTCTGTCAGTCCTGATTTTGACTAGGGTATGGCAAATAGAAGTAGACTAAAAAAATTTCTTAATACATCATCTGTATCTGAAAATACAGAAAACCCAAATTAGACATCATAATGTACAATCATTTTATTGTTTTTTTGTTTTGTTTTGTTTCATTTTGTTGAGACAGGGTTTCACTACGTAGGTGAGACTGACCTGGAACTCGCTATGTATCCCAGGCTAGTCTCGAACTCACAGTGATCCTCCTGCCTCAGCCTCCCAAGTGCTGGGATTACAGGTGTGTGCCACCATGCCCGGCCTAATCATTTTAATAATACTTCTGACCACAAACTATATATATTTGGGCAGCATCTTATTGGCACCTTTTTTTTGTTTCAGATGGGCTCTTGCTATGTGTAGCCCAGGCTGGCCTTGACCATGGAATCCTGCCTCAGTCTCTGGGATTATAGGTGCACACCACTACACCCAGCTTGTTGGCCCTCTGAAATGATATAATCTCTTTTGGCTTGTACTGAGAGGTGTTATAAGAAACAGGCCCTGTGAATCTTGCTATTATATTTACTGTGGAGATAATGAGAAATATGATATACACATACCCAGAATCCATCCTCTGACAATCCATTAACACATTCCATCCTCAGTTACTGCAAAGTAGGTTGCAGTTGTATAGGAGACTGAAAACTTTATTTTTCCTAAATTAGTTGCTGCTAGAATTTTGCAGCTATTTTTGCTGAGTTTATGGCATGCAAATGTTACACTACTCCACACACCACCCTCTCAGCATTTTCCTACCATTGTAATTCCAGCAGTTGGGAATTGTCCCTTTCTGCTTGACTTGGAAAACAGATACATCCATTGTTCTCATCCACTCAGCCAGGTATGGAAAGGAGTCTCTCTCTGCACACTTCCTTACAGCGGAAAAAAATTGTTTTTCTAAAAAGAGCCATTGGGCTGGGGATTTAGCTCAGTGGTTCCGCCACCTGCTTCACAAGCGAAAGGTCCCAAGTGTGATCCCTGGTACCAAAAAAATAAGTCATTAATCACCGAGCTACATAATCTAATGCATGGATCAGTGATCATACATACCATGCTCACTTTTTTTTTTTTTTTTTTTTTTTGTACCGGGGATCACACTTGGGACCTTGTACTTGGAAGGTAGGCAGCAGCACCACTGAGCTAAATCTCTGGTCCTACTTCTTTTAATTTTTCATGTTCTGATAATGTTAGTTCTTGGTGGCACAAGATAAATACACCTAGGTAGGACTCAGAGTCCACTTTCTTTTAGTTTTTTTTTGAGACAGGGTCTCATTATTCAGGTTGGCCTTGAACTCACATTGTAGCCCAGGCTAGCCTTCAATGCACAATGATTCTCCTTGCCTCAACTTCCCATAGAGTCCTCATTTTAGACAGGTCCAGTCATCCTCCTAGATATAACTCATTGGTAACAATGTGTAAGACAATCCTTTGGTCCTAGATAATATAGCTGGTTAGAAAACTGCACTCTTTGTCTGGGGATTTAGCTTAGTGGTTCTGCCGCCTGCCTCACAAGCACAAGGTCCCAAATTCAATCCCAGGTACCAAATAAATAGAAAACTGCGCTCATACTACAGGTATATTCCAGTTGGGCAAATGATAAGTGCTATAGACTTAAATGTTTGTCCCCTAACACCCCATATGACATTATAGTGATACTTGGTTGTCAAGTGGCTCCAAGTTTGAACTTTCCACTACTTGAACAGCAAAGTTTGAAAAACATCTGCTCAGTGTTCATAACTGCTTGATAGTCAAACTGAAAATATGACTTGAAAAAATACGGCTGTGAGTCATGTCTCATCTCTCAGCAAACAAAGTGGTGACACTTCAGCCTAAGCACTGCTCTTGGCCAGACAACATACACTATAGTGTTTGTGTTAGTATGTTAAAACATTCCTTTTTGTTTGCACTTTATTTGCATAAAACTGTGACCATGGCTCCAAAGAGATACCAGCGGTAAAGCTAAGAGGAAAACTAAGAACCACAATAAAAAAATCATTGCACAATTTAAAGTCTTGGAAAAATGAATTTGTAAGTGTCATTTTGGGGCCTCAATTTGGTTTTCCATTATTATGGGAAAAATATGTTCAGTTCTCAAACAACTTTTCAGTGTTTGAACATGAATTTGTAACAAACTGAGTTCAACAATTTGAAGTATCACTATATTAGAAGTTGGGCCTTTGAGAGGGAATCCAGTCATGAGGGTGGAGGGTTAAACGAATAGGATTAGTACCCTACCATCTCGCTCCTTGCAAATTTGAGGACTCAAAGTATTTCTCCCTATACACCAACAGAAGCCAAATATTATCTGCCAGTACCTTGATTTTGGGCTTGCCTACCCTGATGAACTAAGACATCAAGCTCTGAAATTTAGGTGAGTGGGAGGAAAGACCCCTGCAGCCCTAGTACTAAGCTGTGTTCTTAACACAATTTACCAGAAGTTCTGTTTTTAAGCCTCAACTCGCTACTAGTGCTTACAGATTGTCTTTCCTCAAAATTTTGAATGAGAGGTAGTTGGCAAAGAAAGCACACAACCCTTACTACATAGCTTAGATTTATGTATCTGAAATGCTTTTTGAAACACTGGCAAAGTATAAACAAGTCAGTTACCATGCCTATGTCACTTCAACCACAACTACCTTAGGAAATAGGGTACTATGACTTCATTTCTCCTTGTTTGACATACGTATTTCATATCTTGTCTAACTTCATAATTAACTGTTAGGGGATAACACTGGATTCCACATCCCTTAGTTTTCTACTGAATGTCTTTAACATAATAGTAACCATCTACATCTCAGTACCTTTCCCTGAGGGATACAGGAAGCAATCTGTTTATCCAGTTGGTACAACAAATGGCATGGTGTGTTCACCTGTGCAAAAGTGTCAAATGGATTTTACCCACATGTTCCACCTAACAGGTTGTGTGTATTTTTACCTGAGCATCACACAGGGTATACACTCATACCACCCTAGGATTTGTTTAAAGAGTTTTCTTGTGATTTTTCTGGTAGAAGTAGCCCAATTCAGTGTCATGGCACATGAAAAACCAGATTTACAAGTTTTGGAGGATATCAAAAGTGAATCAGGTTATTCATCTATGGATGATCCATTATGGAGAAATACATGTTTTCATAACAGAAGAGTAGTGCAGGTGAATGATGATGATGATAATGATGACTTTGACATTGGCCAGGTGAGCCAAAATTCGTGTGACAGTGAAATGGAACAAGAACTGACTGATACTGATTCATTGATCCTGTATATAGCCAAGAAAAGCAAAGTGGTATTGCTGATGTCAACACTGCACTGTGATGGAAATACTGATATGGAAACCTTGACAAAATACAAGTTTGAGATGGAAGCTTGTTACAGCACAACTAAAGGCAGAGTAGATGTAGATGAGTTATGGGACAACTGATGTCACTTGAAACAGAGTTGGCCAATGGTTGTGTTTTACTCAATCCTCCACATGCATGGCATCAAAAGTTTGATAGTTTACAAAGAAAATAAGTTCAATATACCACAGAGAAATTTTCTTAGAGGATTGGAACTGAACTCGACCATCTACAGGAGACGAAAAACAAAATGTTTCTCCCCAGGAACTGCAAAAAAACTGTGGAACACACTGGGAGCTGACAGGTGAACAGGCAAGCGCACCATCACAAAGACCTACTATGACAATAGGAAAACTAAAAAGATGTTAACTGTGCCCTACAAAATGGACAGAAAAACAAAATGTGCTATCAGCATGAATGATATTTCTGTATAGAACATGCAGTTTTCATGTGTGAAGACTGCCTTAGGTGTGACAATTGAAGCAAAGATTATTTCTGTGCTAGGTTTTTGTTTGTATTTACATTGTAGTTTGCACAGGTTTTTATTTTTGATGTTATCTTTTAGGTTTTGTAAGCAAGTACATAGCTGATGTGAAAATGTTTATTTTAAATAGGCAATACATATTAAGAATACTTTACTGTACTGATACTATATTCCTGTTACCTACACATTGCATAATAAGAACCTCCTGACAAAACAGAACAACGAAATGTCACGTATGTCCTACTAAAAGGCCAGGAAAGGAAAACACATAATGCTGTCAGTGTAAGCAATATCTGTATGGAATGTGCTGTTGTTATGTGTGAAGACTGCCTCAGGTTAAATCATTGAAGTAAATATTTTTTTGTAGAGTGCTACTGGTATTTTCATTGTAGCTCACATAGGTTTTTATTTCTGATGTTCTTTTTTAGACTTTGTACACCAGTCGATATTGAAAATTTTGATGCTTTTTTAATAAACAATAAATATTAAAAATATAATACTTTATTTTTTGGTTAAGCACTCATTAATATAACTCAAAATTAAAATTAATAATTCATCAATAAAAATATTCTAAAGAATTGACACACATTTTTATGTACATATATGACAAAAAATGTGCTATGCCCCTTTAACGGGAGACTCAAGTTAGAGACTATATGAACTGTTGGGTTTATAAAAAATAGAACTATATAGTGAAAGATGATGAAAAGTCTGAGGAAGAGGAATGATACTATTTAAACAGATGATACTCCTTTAAACAGATGAGAGTGTCTTTAAATTTCTGAGTCTAGTATTAAATTTATGTTAGGTACTGATATTACTAATGGACATTTACTGGCAAGTCTACAGAAATACTTTTCAATCAAGTCTTTTATTGAAGCCAATGGGTATACAGTTTTAGAGGTTTTTTTCAATCATAAGCTTAATGTAGAATTAAATGAAAAGTTAATTCTGTGCCATATCTGGACCAACTTTCTGAATTGGTAAAACAAATAAATATACAAAATTCTCATTTTATAAAGTGACTTTGACCAACAAATGAAAAAAATACATCTTTCTTTTTGCTCTCCTGTGGGATCACAGCAGTACATTCCAAGTAAAGAATAAGAAAGACAATGTATCAAACTATCTAACTACAAAAAGATTTACAGCAGAAGTGCTGATTAAAATAATGAATGCCCCAAGCGGTGGAAGGAACATATTGCCAGAAGATGCAGAAGGATGGGTTTTGGGACCTGGAACAGGAACTGGACCTGGACCTGGACCTGGAGCTGTTAAAGAGAATACACAGTCACTGACACATCATTTTTATTTATCAAGTGTCATCCACCTATACCATATATCCTGAACATGTAAAGAGCAATACTGAAACTGAGCTAGACACATACTGAAATACAATACTTCCAAACAGGAACAATTTTCAAGTAAATGTAACATTACAGATTTCAAGCTATATTTCCATATATCATCAGAATGTCCTGCTTAGGCTTTACCTAGGACTTCATAGGCTTTTCACTTCCTACACAGCGAAGTAGGTTCTTGAAGTAGGTATTGATGATCCTTTAGATTCTGCTGGGTCCATTGTAATTTCATCCTTTTCACTCCTAATTGCATGGATTTTGGTCTTTTCTTCCTTCCTTCCTTCCTTCCTTCCTTCCTTCCTTCCTTCCTTCCTTTCTTCCTTCTTTCTTTGAGACAGGGTCTTACTATGTAGCCCAGGCTGCTCTCAAACTCACAGTGATCCTCCTGCCTCAGCCTCCCAAGTGCTAGGATTACAGGCATGCATCACCACTCCCAGCAATTATTATTTCTTGTTCAAGTTCTCTAGCACTTCCTAGCAATTTTTCTTTCATTTTTTTGTTTTGTTTTGTTTTGTTTTTCAGTACAGGGGATTGAATTCAGGACCTTGTGCTTGCACGGCAGGTGCAGTGCCACTCAGGTATATCCCTGGGCCTCTCAGAAATTTCTCTATCTTGATTTCTGTATATACATGCAATGTAAAGTTTAACTCTTCTATTTCAAGTAAGACAGCATAGTTCATATACATATTCAAGCAGCTACTAGTATACAGTTGGACATACATGTATTTAAAAATACTAAGCCCTGGAAATCTGACCAAAAAAATGTCTTTGTCCTCTATACATATATAGCTCTGTTAAAAACTGCTTCCTAATTATCTAAGTAATGGGTCCAACTGGAGAATAATTTTTCATGTTGCTCTAAACTCAGATAACTGAGTTATGGCTGTTTTTGTTTAAACAGACTATACAATAGGAGGAGACCGACTGAAAGTTTATCCAAATGGGATAACCAGCCAGATTTCCTAAGTGAAGCTGTCATTTTAACAGTCTTATAAAAGCTTTAAATCAATTTACTTTCCATAGTTACAAATATGCAGTTATATGTATAGAGATGAAAAAGAGGCAGATGCACTTAAGCATGATTATGTATCTGTAGACCACTGGTTCTCAAGGCAACAGTATTCCCTTCTGAGAGGTAAATCTGGGCAACTGTCAAAAAATTGTTTTATGATTGTCCTAACAATGGCATAGAGGTAAAAGATACTGATACTCTGACATACTCAGGATAGTCCCATACAATGAAAAATTGACCTACTTCCTGCACAACTTTCAAGTACACTGCTAAACATGTTTAAAACTTATCAAATTCAGAATCTAGTTCCACACATAAGCAAAATATTTCAGATCATTTTTAAAAAATTAAATAATAGTTTTTAATCTAGTGTCCACTGTTTTTTCATTTTCATTTTCTTATATTTGTTTTATAGAACAACTTTCACTTTTCTTAAATCCAAATTTGTGTAAATCTAAGCATCATTCTACATTAAATCTTAGCATTTACTGTAATTTTGTAATAAATTTTGTTATAAAATATTTGTTACCGAAAAAGGAAAATCAGGCTGAGAAGACAGAACTATTCTAAACAGGGCAATCTTTAGCCACAGTAGAAATGATTATTTAAGAAATAAAGTCAAGGTACACACACGTTTGGTTATGATGGCAAACCCTGTTATTATGATGCCTTAGTAAATTTCTCACTTTTTCTACATTGCATAGGTATTTATCAATGGAAGAAATGAAATATTTCTTACTAGGATTATCCATGTTTCCTTGATGTCTGTCTTCTAAAATAGAAATAGATTTTGAGTTAATTGCATTATACATGTACCCAGAAGAGAAAGATCTAATTAAAGATTAAAGAAACTTGGTTATCTCTCAGAGTGGGCCTGAAGGAAAGGATAACAGGTCTAGAGGTATAGGCATTGTAAGATTAAATGTGTTTCTCTGTACTGTGTTGACTTTAAAAAAAAAAAAAAGTCTGCACTACACAATGCTTTCCAGGAGTGGGCACAATACAGTACAACAGTCTCAGCAAAAGCTAGTGGGCTGGATGTGGTGGTGCACGTCTGTAATCCCAGCACTGAAGAGGCTGAGGCAGGAGGATCGCTGTGAGTTCGAGACCAGCCTGGGCTACATAGTGAGTTCGGTCAGTCTCTTGGTGGTGCACGTCTGTAATCCCAGCACTGAAGAGGCTGAGGCAGGAGGATCGCTGTGAGTTCGAGACCAGCCTGGGCTACATAGTGAGTTCCAGGTCAGTCTCAACTACATAGTGAGACCCTGTCTCAAAAAAAAAAAACAAAAAGCTAGTGGATTATTGGAGGAAGGGAAATCATAGTAAGGAGCATAGAATGGCTGGTTCCAATATTATATTAGTGTGCTGTGTAATTCTCATTTGCACTTCCTTGATGAGCCTTTCCTGTGTCTGAGGATTCCCTCCTGGTTCTAGTTTATCCTGGGAAGCCTTCTGTTTCATTCTGGAATAGACAAGCACAACTGGATGGTAACTGTTTGTTTCAGCTAAGAATCATTTTCTCTGAGAACCTTAATAGTAGCTCACCACTCACACTGAAAGTAGTTCTCAATATTTTCTCCCTCTGGCATACAGACTAGAATGTCAAAAACTGTACATACAGATATCTTCCCCAAATTCCTTACAACTGAGCTAACTGAATGACTATGGTAAAGAGTTTAGAACCCAGTGGTGCTTCCATTCCAATAAAGAATTAATTACCAGAGTTTTCATCCGGTTGTATCACTTTTATTTCTAAACGAAGAAAAAAAAAAGATTTTCAGATAACAATAACAGTTACCATTTACTATTATTTAGATACTTTATTTTACTGGGTCCTTAATTAGTATTAAAAGACAGAAGTATCCTTTTTACAGGCATAAAAGTATAGGTACAGAAAAGTAAAGTCATATACAAAGTTATACAGAGGAAAGTGTAGAGACTTCCTGAAGCCAGGTCTCTACGTATCTCATGTTCATCCCCAACATCCTGTTCAGTGGCTGAGTTTCAGAAAAACCACAGTATGACTACTAAAACTCCAATCAGAGAACTATGCAAACTCAGGTCTAGAGAGAAGAGATGTAGACAGACAAAGTGTGTCATCAGTATCACTATGGGTTCACTTTAAAGTTGTGGCCAAATAAACTTATCACTGCTAAACTGGGTCAATATAAAAGAGCTGCTGGACCCTCCGTGCTTATGTCTATGCTTTACTTAAACTGTAAAGTGCTGTTTCTGCACACAACATTCAGTTTCCATAGTGATGTTAGGCAAGGCTCAGAACTATGTGGATAGTTATAATTTAGCAGATCCTAAAACTTAATTTCTGTAACATGATGATTTCCATAATAAACTTAAAAAATTTTTTCAAAGCACTACATGAACTCAAGAGAAAGGATTTTAAGCACTGTGTAAGTGCCTGTACCCTGAGATATTCCCATGAGGTAATTTAACAAGTGTTGCCCACATATGAAAGAAAAAAATTCTGAGGCATAGAGATGTGACTGTCCATGGCTCTCTGGTAAAACATCATGTCTTCTTTTCTTCTCCTTGTCTCAGGAATAAAAAATAGTCTGAGTAGTTCTTCTTCCCAACTCTCCCATAAGCATAAAATTCTGAGGAACCTGACTGGAGTCATTGTTCAGTTTCTCTGATCATAGAAGCTCAATGCCTCTCAATGGCCTTCCCTCAGCTTCACTTTAAAAATATTCGATGTAATGGTTATATATGTAATAGGTTAAGTCTGCTGTAGTAAATACCCTGGAAAAACACTTGATGAACCATAAGTATTGAGGAACAAACACTTGGTAAAAGTTAAAAAGACCTAGGTCCTTCATTCATTTTATGTGATCTTGTGAAAGTACTTAGCCATTCTACATGCTTACTGGTGACAGTTTATGTCTATACCTCCCAAAATGGCACCTTCCCTTCTGGCATGCCAATCATTGCTTACCAGGTAGTGGAAAAGGTTCTGGAACTTTCATTCCTAAATGAAAAAAAAAAAAGAAAAATTTTCAATGGTTTGCAGTTTGCTCCCATGAGTACAATTTTCAAACTCTTTTCTGATGAACTAAAAATACAATCTCCCAAGTTTCCACTGTGCTGTAGTTTCTGGCTTTTGATGGAAAAGTTCCGGCTCCATAAGCTCTTCCTTATGTAAATCTACACCAAACTTTTAGAGGAGTCTTCTGTCACAACACCTCACTGAGTATTTGTTTATGCCAGGATAATACTATGTTTTGTTACCTAGAGATCCCAGACCAAAGATAACAAGTCAGCTTGTGCGAGAAGGGGAAATTTCTATTGAGTAACTTTAGCTGTAAAACCCTGAAGATGCTGACCCACTGCATCCAACTTCCATGCAGAGCTAACAGAGCTAACTTTCTTGCCCCAGCGATAGTCCTCTTGGAGCAAATGAATACTGGGTCGGAAAGGCACTCTATTTATAGTCTTACCCCATGGTTCATATCTAGATGTCTCCCCAAAATCTCAGGAGCTCATAGGTGGGGCTTTTGATAGGTGGCTGGATCACAGTTCTATGATACTGAATTATGGGTATGACAACTAGATCACTGATTTAGCATGGTTGTGGGTGATAAGACTACTGAAGAGGGAACCTCCCACCCTGCTTGTGGATGGCAGCAACCAACAGGCTTGTAGCTTGTATGGAATAAAAGTGAAAGGAAGGCTCCTGCTTCACTGCCTTCTGCCTGCCACACCATGGACTGCTTCTCCTCTGCCGTGCTGCCTTGCCTTAGAGCCTGCTGACTATGGACTAAAACCTCTACAACTTGTGAGCCAAAATAAACTTGTAAAATAAACTCCTTTAACTTATGGGTGTTGGGTATTTTGTCCCAGCAACAAGGAAGTAACTAAGACACTTAGCAAAATCTATAGATGATGAACACACATTTACAAGAAAAATATTCACTTTAATTTTGGGACAATCATTCTCACTTCATATCTGGACTCAGAATGAACAGAATACTACCTTACCAGGTATTTGGGGAAGTTCATGGATTTTCACACCTAAATGCAGAAATGAATACTGATTAGTGCTAATCAGTTTATCTTACACTGTTAATGCTTCCATTTGTCTATATAATTCCTCTATTATCAGTACTCTCAAAGGGAAAAACAGCAACAACAAATCACCTTGCAATGGCTCTTCATTCTCAAACAAGATGAAGATCAAACTGTAAGCTAGACTTCCAAAATTTCCATGATTTATCCCTTATCTCTCCAGTCTTATGTTCATGAGACAGGCCTAAGACATTCATTTTTTCCCCCTGTACCAGGGATCAAACTCAGGACGTTGAGCTTGCGAGGCAGGGGTCAGAACCACTGAGCTAAATCCCTGGCCCCAGACATTCTTTTTTTTTGAGACAGGGTCTCCCTATGTAGTTGAGACTAATCTGGAGCTCACTATGTAGCTCAGGCTGGTCTGGAACTAATAGTGATCCTCCTGCCTCAGTCTCCTGAGTGCTGGGATTACAGGCGTGCGCCACCACACCCAGCCAGAAATTTTAAAAACTAGGCAGAAAGGAGACAAAGAAATTGGGATTTAAAACACTGTAGTTTTAAGAGAAACTGTAGCTTCAGGACACAAAAGTTACTCAGGCCTTTTTCCTTTCCAGGAAACTCACTCAAAAAACAATTTTTTTCCCCCTAAAGGTCTTAAAGACACAGCCTCTAAATTCAGGTCTGACCTGTCCTTTTCACCCGAAAATTACAATTCCTACATCCCCAAGGAAGCAGCAGTACTGCTGGGCAGCATATCTCAACTTCAAATGCATCTAAATGGTTTGCATTCTGACATAACCTGCTAGATAAGCAACCTGACAGGCAACAGGAATATGCATTCTAGTTACCTTTTTTTTTTGTACCAGGGATCAACTCGGGTCCTTGCCCTTGAGAAGCAGGCACCTGAACCATTGAGCTGAATCCCCAGCCCTCTAGTTATCTATCTTGAAAACACACCCAAGGTCCCATAAACATAAGCGAGTTGTGGCTCATAATCTCCCTCCCTTCTCTTCTCTCCTCCTCTCCTCCTTCCCTCCGCTTCCCTCCCCTCCTCTTCCTTCCTCCCCTTCCTTCTCCACCTACTCTACATACTCCTCTTCTTCCTCCTCCCTCTCCCTGTCTCACACTCTATTTCTTTCATTTCTGCCTACTAAAACCCCTCCCACGCCTCTTACTGACTAGTTCTGCAAATTCTTTTTCTGTAATAGGAGTCACTAAACCTCCAAACATTCTTCAGGGTAGGTTACGATCCTTATCTTAGCTACAGAAACCTCAGATTCAGTCCAGTGACGCTAAGAGTCCTCATACCACCTCCTAATTTTGTAGCTAGTCTCAGAGAGTAAGAGAAAGATGATTCATTTACCAGCTAAGACAATGAGCCTTGCCATTTTATTCCTAAGGGTAAAAATAAGAACTGTTTAATAAAAGCAAATCATTCCACTTGAAAGTTAATTTAACTTTATAACAAGCTTTTATAGTGGAACATTCAGTAAGATTTGAGAAATAGCAGGGGACAAGGGAAAAGTTTGTGATAATGTCTTACCAGGGTCTTCGAGCTTCTGGTTTTCCTCACCTAAATTACAAAACAAAAGGGGGTGGGTTCTAGTTTAACAAGGGATCAAAAGAACTGAGACTTACCTATAGCTACAGCCAATATACTTTCAGGGTGACATGGCCATTAGAAACATTTGATATGTTCATTAACTGCTATTACTTTTTGAGTGTCAGCAGAATCTAAATGCACCTAAGCTAATGAGCTAAACTTCCATCTTCTGTTTCTATTAAGAAAAATTCATTATGTAGATATCTCCTGGAGTCTCAAGGAGGAGAAAAATGTCTATTTTGCACATGAAAGAAACTAAATACTTAAGGAAAGGCTGATTTTTTTTTCCCTTCAATGGAGAAAAATGTATTGCAGTCACATGGGCCAAATATATAATAAGTTAACCACCTACCACTTATTTAAATGCAGGAGGATCAAAATTTTCATTTTTGGTAATTTTTATAAGATAAGAAATATAAAAACAAATATAAAATGTATTCAATAAGTTTTGTGTGTATGGTATGTCTTAGAACATCCAATACACAATGCAATGTTACAATCTGGACAGTAGTATCTAGTCTCTCTCCAAATGCTTTTTGCATTATTGTCTTTCTCTGAACAACATACTTCACACTGTTGTGTTGGCCTTTCCTTTTTTTTCTGTGGGTGTTGTACTTCAATAAAACATCTATCCACTAAACATAATGGCGAAGACGTCAATGATGGATGTCCTGGTTGGCATTTTGCCATCCTGTATTTTTCAATTATTTAGTCTATTAGACAATCTTAATTGTGAATGATTTCTTGAACACCTTGTTTTGAAAAAATAACAAATGAGTTCCATAGTATTTGGTCCAGAAGGTGCATAAATATTTTATAAGAATATATTTTTTCCTTGCTTTTTGATTACAGGATAGGTTAATAGATGTTGGTCAACTCGGTCCACACATCCACACAATTATCATAAACATTGACCACTACTAGAATGTTTTTAGTTTTGTTTCTTCAAGTTCCATCTTTTGTATATTATTAATAGTTGACAATAAGGAGACATGTTTTTTGTCTTTCCATTTCATGACCTTTCCTCTCTGATGTGCTAACATTTCTCCCTTTTTCAAAAGTTGTTTCTTTTGAAGATCTTGTGGCACTTCCTTATTCAGTGTCAGTATCCCAGACATATCTGCTTTATAATGTAGAAGGATATCACTGAGTTCTAGAGAAGTATAAAAATTATATCTAATGTACTTACAATAAGTTTTTATATATTGTGGAACAAAACTATAGGTTATTTTTCACAAATGAACATGAATTTGTGAAAGAAAATAACCAGAACTTATTATTAGACTGCACTAGAAACAAACATCAAGGTGAGTACAATGTTCTAAACACAAAAAGTTTGCAAAAAATAGTTGATATAAAACAAATAAACAAGCCTAGTGCATTGGTGCACACCTATAATACCAGAATTTGGAAGGCTGAGGCAGGAATATCACAGTGAATTTGAAGCCAGCCTAAGCTACATAGTGAGCTTAAGGCCAGCCTAAACTACTTAGCAAGACCGGGGGTGGGGGAGGGAAAGAGACATACGAGTATATCTTGTGCAAACAAGAACTGACTGGTTGAGTCAAGAATTGACTGCCTGAATGATGCTTGGGATAGTCAGTACATAAACAAACACTGCTCCAGTGACATTTAGAGTAAACCGTTAAATTGGTAAATGCAAAGAAATGCTTTGGCTATATCTCCATAAGTAGGAACTTTACAAAAATCTAATCATCTAGATACTTTAGTCATGATACCTGTGAAGGGAAAAAACTTAAAATGGAGCACTTAAAATGAAATGCATGTCTATAGTTCCAGTAATACAGATATGGAGTACAAATGGGGGTATGGGACCATTTGCCTCTACTCACCTGGACAACACTCGAGGGCCACCCCCTAACTTCTGTCCAATCGTCTAATACCAGAAGGCAAAGATAAAGACAAAGGGCCTGCCTTGGAAGAATTCAAAGTCCCAAACCAAGAAGCATGTGTGCCAGACTCTCCAGCATGAAGTATAGTAACCTTTTCTCACTAGAAGCCCACTGACGGTTCATGCATACAGACTGCATCTCATACATCTAATCATAACAGAATGAATTATTAGATACAAATGATAGTACTCAGCACCCTGTCAATTACACTTTCAGAGACCCAAATGGGAGGTGCCCTAGGCCCAGTGCATCATTTTACATGCCTAAACCCAACACCTTCAGTGCTCATGCCACTTTCTTTTCCACTGGTGTGGGTGCATTCACTCTAAGTGCACTGTTGACTAAATTAAATTATATTGCTGAGTGGGTGGCACACACCTGTGACCCGAGCACTTGGGAGGCTGAGGCAGGAGGATTACCTCAAGTTCAAGACTAGCCTAAGCTGCATAGTGAGTTGAAGGACAGCCTGAACTATATAGTGAGTCTTTCTTTCAATAAACATAAACTGTTGCTTTTTTAACAAATGGACAAGTGGCATATCCAATTTGTTCATCACTCACAAGGACCTAGAAACCCATGTATGACCTGATCACTCATGGTAACATACTGGTAAACCAGCTAGGAGGCAAGCCCTCTTTTGGGGGAGATTTTATACTCCTTCTCTTCTCTTTCCTGTTTTTGTGGTCTTGGTCACTTGTTACAGGAACTGGTCAGACTGTTAAATGCCATTAGTTTAAGGTTAATTAGAAGGGGAAATAGGCAGGGATGAAAGGCATGACGTGGCTGACATGGCATGGCTCACCAGGCAGACAGCTACAGAATAAATGACCACCTGCTTACTAGAAATTGCCCTTTGTGAAACCTTTGCAGATGTTGAACAGTTATTTTTAGAGACCTGCTTGTGCTAAAAAATATTAATATACACTAAAAAGTACTGCAAACCCCATGCTCATCCCAGCAACAGCTTGTAGGATGATAGGGCAATGAAGGCTAAGACCCTGACTGGCCTAGAACACACACACCAATCAATGAAGACCCCAAAACCCTTAAACCAAGGCTGAGACCCTGGTTAGCTTAGAACCTATATAAGTATGGCCAGAGAAAAGATACTGCATTGAGAAGTTCACTTGAACTTCTGCCTACCATGTTGCTTGTCATGTAACAGTGTTGTCTCCTGCTCTGCCATCTTATGAATAAACTTTTTTTTGTATGAAAGGGATATTACTTCTTTTTAAAAATTAAGTGTATTGGTACATTTAAAGTATACAATATAAAGACATTCATCTTTGGAAATTGGCACCTTTACATAATCCATCTTGGTTCTTATTTTTTCTGCATTCCACTGCCCTCCCCTCAACCCCTCCCTATCTACAAAGACTTTGTTTCCATTTTTTCATTTTCTCATATTAATTCCATTCCCTCTTTCTTTTCCCCTACCACTCCGACTTCCCCTTCCCCTTTGCCCCTTTTTCACTATTTCACATTATCTATTATACCTTTTAGTCCTTATTTATATTTTCAGTTTCTCACACTAGAGAAACTATTCAGTATTCACACATTTATTTCACTTAAGAGTATTGCCTCAATGTGCATCCATTTAGCTGTAAACTAGAGAGTTTCTAACTCTTCGTGGCTCAGTAGTACTCCATTTTATTAAAAAACAAATACATGTTCTTTATCCAGTCTCTCATTGATGGGCAACTGGGCTGCTTCCAAGTTTTAGCTATTAGAAATTGTGCTGCTATGAACATGGGTGCACATATATTGCCGTGGGATGATTCTTCCAATTCTTTGGGGAAGATACCCAGCAGGGGAATAGCTGGGTCAAATGGGACCTCTAATCCTAGTTCTTTGAGGTATCTCCATACTGATTTCCACAGTAGTCGCACCAGTCTATACTCCCACCAGCAGTGGAACAGGGTTCCTCTTTCCCCACAGACCCACCAGCATTTGTTACTGGTTGATTTCATGATAATAGCTTCACACTACTTTCATTTCTGAGTTCCTCCTGCAACCTGGATGGCCTGACTTCTTCATTTTTATTTCCCACCTTTAACCTCACAGACAGACCTCTTTATAATGACTCCCCCCAAATCCCATACCCACATGCCTTCCTTGGCTTAGAATGTCATTCACAGCTGCCTTCAAACTCTCAATCACCATGCTCTCAACCACTTTCCCAATACATAAAATTCCATCTCACAGGCAGCCAATACTGTACCTGGTTCAAAGATAAAAGTTCCTTCCAATATGCTATTGTACACAGTCACTCCCCTCACAATAGACAAAACTTGTAGCCCTAACCCAAATGCTTATCCTAGCTTTCTCCCAGCTTCTCACTATACAAAATTCCCCTTCACTAACAGAGGCCACATAGAAACTCTCAAAGAGATAGCTCCTTGCCACTAAAGGTGGCTGGCTGTCTTCTACTGACTATTTCATGGAGCTTTATAGCCCCGAAAACAATCTAGCTGACAAAATAGCCAAACACATTGCTCTCACCCAAGGCTCCAAATAATTACTTCTTCCCTTGTTATCATACCTCAAAAACCTTCCATTAAATTCCACCATCCCTGGCCCAACTTACTACCTCTGACTCACCTTCATATCCTTTTAACATACAGCTGTCCCTTTCTTCTGGGCCCCATTGCCCCCACTCATTCCCTAGATTACGTCCAGTCACTTCTGCCCATTGCTTTCTCCTTCACACTCACTATTCCCTTCCTCTTCAACCCTAAGCCAAGTCCTGCTCAAAACCCTTAAAAAGACCACCCTTCAACATGGGAGAGAACCTACATGGTCCTCTTTACCACCTAAGTTCTCACTGCCTTTCTCCCTTGCCTTTCTCATTACTACCTTAAAACCCAAAAAGGTGCCTCCTCCTTGTAGGTTTCTCCCAGAAAGCTACCTGTTGTCTTCATGATGGTGTCACTCTCTGAATTCACTTGCTTTATCCTCTCTCTTAGGAGAATTAATATTTTTCCCCCAACTTCAACTTTATTCCCCAAAATAATTCTGACTCCAGAACACCTTCAAGGAGTTCACTCCAACACAAAT